TTTTCTTTCATTTTTAATGAGATGGGTATTATTTATGCCAACATTGCTGTCAAGAACAGGAAAAAGGTTAGGATGAAGTGAGGTGGAATTTCCATAAATGGGGCTGAGGTGGATGCTGGAGAGAATAATTAAAAGTCTCTACTTTTATGGGAGCATTTTTGTGTTTGGTTAAAACTTGGAGAAACTGATCAGGGTCCCGGGTAAGCTGAGATACAGTACACTGAATTCAAGAAGAAGGCTGCAAGATGAAAAGAGAGAGTTCCCACCTGGGGGTGCGGAACGGCAACAAGCCCCTAAGAGAAGGGACTGAATTCCTCAGGATGTTACAGGAAACCAATCTGACTTGAAAAGTTCTGGGTTGAATTCTCTGGGTCACTGGCTTTTGACAATTTACCGTAAAGGTTTATAATACGGATTTAACTGAAACAAGGCACGCCTGGTATCACATATAGAGGACACAGTGGGTGCATAATAAATGCTGGTTCCCTTCGGACCCCTCATAGTGCAGAAGCATTTTCTTCCAACACTGTACAAGAACTGGTTCTGCCTTCAGCTAGGAGCTGCAAAGATGAGCCATGAATACAAATTACAAATGAATATAAAATCCTGATGCATGTGTGAATTCCTATCGAGCTGAATTTGGGAGCATGAGACCTGTACTCATAAAGATTTGTGTAACTGCACCCTGAGAGCCTGTTAATAGTCTACAGTTTGCAGCTAATAGTCTGCACCCTTTCAACAATTTGGAGGTCCCTCTGAAGAGGACACAGTAACAAAATGTCTACCAGAGAACCATGATCTTAGGAGCCGGGAGGTGGCCTTGGCTGTCTGGAATGGATAAGTCACTGCCAAAGCATCGCTGGTGGCTGAGAATTTGTCACTGACTGGCACAGGAAAGATTAGATGAGACCAGCATCCTGTTCTGCTTCTGGGAAGATTTATAAGTTGTAAATCACAACATGTGGGAAAGATGTACTTATCTTAGCAGAAATCTGCCTCTCTGTAACCTCTGGCCTATAATTTCTTATTTATTTGTCTATAACAGAGAAACAAGTAAAATTTTAATTCAATATTCTCTTAGTGCTCATTATGGGCCGTGAGGAGCCCGACCCCAACATGTCTCAATGAATCAGTAAAGAAATGGACAGACAGTGGTCACTGGAGATGGAGCACACTTTCTGGATACCCATGGACAGGAAAATGGCTGAGAGTGCCGAGGCACTGTCAGGAAAACAACAGATTTCCCTTTTCTATGCAATCCTCAAAATCCTCATAGTCTTGATCAAATACCATGAATTCTTCTGAATAACTACCACCAGAGAAGCAGCCATAGCTTCTCTGGAACCAGACATCTCTGTCAAACCTTTTCTCTAACTTTTCCTGTTGATGAGAGGTCAGCCTTGGCTTCCTCATCCATAGAATGGCCACTGTTATAGTGAGTTTGCTAGGAGGACCAGTGAGCTAATGACTTGTGTGTTCTCACGATGTTCCTGGCAAGCACAGTGGAGGCTGCCCTGGCTTTTCTCCTTCCTTACATCCAATACATCAGAAAAACCAACTGGCTTGACCCTCAAGACGTATTGAGAAGCTGACCACTTCTTGTCACCTCTGCCCTCCTGGCCTGAGACGTCACCTCCCACCTGGTTTGTTAAGTGCTTCACCACACAAGGTCAAAGTCCTGCAGTGAAAACAAGGCAGACTGCAACACTTCCCTCTCACGCGTCTGCAGTGACCATGAGTAAAACCCATCAGGAAACTGGAGTAAAAGCCACCAGAAACACAACCCAAAATTTAGCTCTTGGTGACCCTCGCCCGCTGCAATTTTCTCTGTATCATTTATCTCCATCCATACATTTCGCCTTATTTTACTTATAGTTTCTTTTCTTCCATTAGAAAAGCAAGCTGCAGGAGGGCAGGGGTTTTGTTTGTTTTATTTAGTTCTGAGCCCACAGTGCCTAGAACAGTATCTGAACTACTGAAGAATCTCAATAGAGACCTGCTGAATTGCTTCCGTGAGTGCATATCAAGTGCTTATAGAAGTACCTGGTGTATCTACTAAGTGTTCAATATCTATCAGGAGCTGGGCATGGTGGTGCATGCCTATAATCCCACACTTGGGAGGTTGAGGCAGGAGGCTCATTGCAAGTTCGAGACCAGCCTGGGCTACAAAGTGAGCTCAAGGCCAGTCTGAACTGCATAGTGAGACCCTGTCTCAAAAAGACCACCCCCCCCCCCAAAATATCCATTAGGAATTACCAATGCTATGATTCTTCCAAGGTCTTGGTTATCTTTTAACAGCTCTACTGAGTCAATGCCCCTTTAAAAACGATAGTTCCCTACTCTCTAAAACACCTTCTGCACCAGCACAGAGCAGAAAAGGGCTGCTATTTCTAGCTTGTCTACTTTACTTCCACACTATGCCAGCCTGTAGGTCCTTGTTAAAGCTTATAGGTAGCCAAAACATACTTATGCTCACAATTAGTTAATTATTTAGTTTTGGAAGAAATTGCTCACAAATGAACACAGGAAAAGACTGGAATCAGAGGGATATGCATAATCCTCAGATCAGACACTTGTGACCCTGTTAGTGGTGGTGACATAAAGTTGCTCACATACCATTTTGGGGATTCTCTGGAATAACCTCAAGTTCTGGGGGCTACTCTGGGCCATTTCATTGTGCAGACTATATAAAACATGTCAAAGCAGCAGATGCTAATCTTTATGCTTATGCTGCTGTAACCTACAATACTAAATTTTTATCTGTAATATGACAATATGTATGTAATATATTGTAATAATATAGTATGTAAGATGAATAAAAGCTTTCAAAAAGATAGCAGTTTTACATATATACATACCAATATAAATATTGGCATAGAAACGAAATAGAATATAATTTTTTTGGCTATATTCTTGATGGAAATACTGAATTTTGAAATTAGAGAAATGCAGATCCAATCATAGTCATTTCTTCCTGAAATTATCTGGGTTGCAATATATCTGGCAGCTCTGCATGTATAATAAAAATGTTAAAGATGAGTATAGTTACATTTTTTGGAACTATTACCATAGTGCCCAAGACACAATAAATAGATATGACCTATCTTTGAGCATTTCACTGGCATCTTGTTATAGTCTTATTTTGGAGGTATTGTGCAGTCCACTTACACATACGAACACACACACACAAAAATGCTTTACAAGAACTAAAGTACTACACATACTTATGTATGACCCTTTTCTTTGAGTAAATTAGATAGACACTTTGGATAAGCTAGTAAAGTCTGTAGTTAATTTATTCTTTACATTTTCACTGATGCACTCACTATTTAAATATTTTGTTCAGAGCTGCAGCAGGGATAAAACAACAAGGAGCAGAATTCCTGTTAGCACTTCCATGAAGTCTCGAAGTGAACAAAGGCACAGTGGAGCACTGACATTCATTTCACTTTGAGTTAAACACAGCATCGCCGCAAGTCTCAAGAGATGATATTAGGTTTTGTGTTTGGGTAAGACTGAGAATTCCACAGGCAAGGGTAGAATTATATTTAGCTGGCAAAATGCCAATCAAACTTTGCACTTGTCCTAGAGTAGGTGGTCAAAAACTCAGTTCTTGTCAACAAACCTGTTGGCCACAGTTGTTTAAACTATCAGGCTCTCAAAATCTTTTGTGCTATTCATTTTGAAAATAAAATAAACATTGAGAAATGAGATGAAATGAGGCAAAGACTTAGGTCTAATGAAAAAGATATCAGGCTAGAACTGACCTTGATTAGACAGAGCACATCAGATAGAAACAGAGCTTTTCCAAGTGCCATCATCAGACACACACACACACGTAATTTTCCTTTGGGAAGAAAGGACTCAGAAATCAAGGCAAAAGGGAAATGCATTTACAGCTTTCTCTCTGTTCTCCTTGAAACATATGCTGTAAACTTTGTAGGGTTCACAGTATGTTTCCAAAGATGCCTTCCCATTGGTGGGAGAAGGCATATGTTCCTTGATGTGTCTGTTTTCACTATAATAGCATATAATGTCTCTTTCTAATAAAATTAACCACAAAAAATTTTAACAATGTGTCTGCATTCTGCTAATTTATAAAAAACAGGATGCTGTCAGATAACATTTCATGACAGTGATCTATAAACCAGACTGTCAAAAGTGAAAGGTACTTGGGCAGCACTCAGGGGCAAGAAATGCGTGGAGACCCTGGGAAGGGTTCCTGTGACTCGGTAAAACAATGTGCTGTAACGTGGCTCATGTTACCCTGACTTGCAAGTTACCGTGAGGTCACAGGAAATCCCGAAATGTTTTCCATATTTTATGTTTTATACATTTTATGTCAAATTTCCTGAAATTGAAATCATAAACCCTCCTACTGCTGGACTCTCTTCTGAAGGAAAGGAGATCTTCTGACACTTGCCCATGAACACCTAATAACTCAATTCCTAGCAGGGTAACAAGAAACTGAAAGACAGAATTGAAAATGGACTGTGATAAGGCTGAAATGTCACATGCTCTAAGTTTTGCAAAATGAGAACCAAACCAATGTCATTAAGATAACTCGAAGAGTGCATTTAATCTCTTATTCTTTAGAATAAGAGATAACAGAAGAAATGATAGACTGTCCCAAAGACAGAAAGTTACCATTTCCTCAGACCTCTTCTCCAAAATGTACTTGTGGATTTAGAGTCTAATTTTAAAATAGCATCTTCTACATGGATATTCCTAACATGACTCAAGCTCCAGACAACCATATTTTATTGTTCCAGCTATGTTTATGTCAGGGTAAGTCAGACTTAAGTTAAATGTTCATGTTTAAAATATTCTTTCAAGATGTATCACTCCCAAAGGCAAAATATAAAGACAGCTTTTTCATGATAAAATGTTATTTGTATATAAATCAACAAAATTGACAATCATGATAAACAACGAAGGTTCATTAATGAATACCAAGTTTTACAATTTCGCTACACCATGAATTTTTTAGGACATATTACCTCTCCTGACATATCAGGGGCCATTGGAACAGCAGGCCACAGAGATGAGTAGATTCCAAAAAACACCACCCAGAGTGCGATGCTGCCCCATATTGCTATGTGGCTGAACTGGAAAGCAAGGAAACGGAAGTCAAAATACTCACAGGCAGACAGAATACACAAATACTAATGGAGAAACCATCACAGATCCTCCTACTAATTTTTTTTTGTCATATTCACAGTAAATCCAACATAACTACATATGTGTAAGCATTTTACTGGGTGTTACATTCAGTGCTAAGCTCTTCCACCAGGTTATGAGTTTATGGTACTGGAATTTAGAACTAACTGCTCCTTTCTATCTCCTTTGGTGGTTTTCTTCTTGTATTTATTATCTTTTTTTATCTGTTTCCATCTTTAAGTCTCTTATTTTTACTCCACATGCTCTCACTGAAATAGTAATATTCTCTTCTGAGTTGGCCAGTGACTGTCAAATCCGATTTCTTGTGCCAATCTTTCCCTGGAGCAAAGAACTTTAATTTCTTCTTGCCTACTGAATCTCTCTACCTGGATACGGCTATCTGTAAAACTAAGTGTTGAAAATGGAACTTGTTTCAGCTAGACTGGGTGTTTATAAATGTGTGAGGACAGCTCTTTCATTAATATTACTGGTCTTCAGCATAATTTTCTAATGGGTTTTCTACAGAATGCCAGTCTTGCGACACTTCTCTGAAACGCTGTACAGACTTGTAAGTTCAAAAGTCTCCCCAGTTCCTGGGATACGTGCAGTATGAAGTAATATATTAAAGGCTCTGAAGAATCTTATGATGATAAATTTAAGTTTGACTCAGTGTTTCCATACCACAATGCCTAGTTTCCTTCCTCTGCCCCAACTGACCCAGAATTAACCTGCAGGTTAGCACAAAGGAATACATCAAGTCTGAATAAAAATAACCCCAAAGTTTGAGTAATTCTGACAATTCTGGGTGACTACAGAAACTCTTACCCATGTCCAGTATGATGTCTCCAAGCCAGCTTTCAAGCAGACAGTTATCACTACAAACTAAAACAGAGAGGAGAAATGTCACTTTGCTTCATAGAGGTAATAGTTCATCAAGTGACTGACAGTGAGATTTATAAAGGACAGATAGTTCTGAGTTAAACCGTGGGGCTACATTATTTGCTGCTTGCTTTGCACGTCCAACAAGTAAAAGAAGAAATGAAGGTGCTGGTGGCTGCAGCAGGACACGGCCAGTCAGAGCTGTCTAGGTGCAGCATGGTGCGATTACCGCTCTTCCCGGTGGGTCATTAAGTTAGGTTACAGTGAGGCAGTTGGACTTTCAGCAGCATACTTAGTGGCAATTTAGGATTAATAACTGTAGAAATAAACTCTTACTAAAATAATGTTAATCAACTTAGGCTACATAAAATAAGAGATAGTTTGACATAAAATTAAAGAAAAATAGCCCCCTGAGACCTGAGCACTTTAAAATGTCCCTACAAGACATCTGTGATAGGGGCTGGGGATTTAGCTCAGTGGCACAGCATCTGCCTGGCAAGCATGAGACTGTGAGTTCAATTCCCGGTACCGGAAAAAAAAAAAAAAAAACGAGAAAAGACATCTGTGAAATATAGTCTGATTAATTTCTAGCTATGCTAGTTATTTCTAGCTAGGCATTTCCCTATTTCAGTTTCTACATTTATGTTGTAAGAGAACAAACCACTAGCCCCTGAAACATGATCTTGCTTTTCTTTTATAACATCAATGGGTTGTTGTCAAAGTGAAAGGACACCCCTAGACCGCCAAAAGCTTAATCCTTCTGCTACTGAATGATTTTATTTCCTTACCATTTAGTTATTTAAATACACAGGCACATGCACACCCCCCCACACACACTGGGGTTCCAGGATTGAACCTAAAATCTTGTGCATATTAAGAATGTGCTACACTGAGATACACTCCTGGTCCCCAACACTTGATATTTAAACACCATAAGACTCTTCCTATCAGCTGAGTCAGCTGTACTAACAAACAGCCACTTGGTGTTTGGGACAGCACACTTTCCCTGCACAGAGGCCATGGAGGGAGGCACACAAGAAGAGAACAGAGTAGAGGCTGGAGAATTCAGAGTGGAAAGCTGGAGCAGTCTCTTATGAGACACCAGTTGTGTGACCCATGGCATTCACGTTCAGTAATGCTTTTGACCTTTTAAGGGAAAGACGGTTTAAAAATTTTTTAGATCTTCAGTGGCAGTAAGGAGAACTCAAGATTCATCTACGTGTTTCACATAATCCTCGGTTAGTGACTTGCACACAGTGGGTCCCAGTTTCGTGTGGGATAAATGTAAACTAAGCCTGACGATCGCTTTCATTTTAGTTATCGTGAGCTGGTAGAGTAAGTCCTGGGTGGACACCCAAGAATAAATTGAAAATATCTGCTATGAATTTAGAAAAGCAAAAAAATATTAACAACAGCAGTAGGGTAAATTGGAAGAGAAGGAAAAAGGAAGAAAAAATAGGGAAAATAGGGTAGTAAGAAAGAGAGAATAATGAAAACAAAGGTAAGAAAGCCCTTTAAAATCACTGAACCTGTCATTTAAAAGAATCTATAATTTCTTAACAAAGTTTCCTTATTTCATTTGTAAAGACATTCATTTTTCATACCAGAAACACACACATTTAAATTTGAACATAAAATGCGCACAGATGAGAAGGTTTGATTTTTGCATGCACATGAGCATGCACAAATGCAGCACTCACGGTGTAAACGAAGTTTCCCAGCAGCAGGTAATCAGAAGTTTTCCCATTTCCAAATACAGTACCTGTGCGCAAAGGAGAGAGCCAGTGTAAAGGAGGAACTGACATGCAACCAATTCTCAGAGTCCACAAGATGCAGATAAACAAACAAAATCAATAAAAGTAACCATTCAAGGAAAGCTTAGAGCCACGGGCACTAAAGATCTGAGAAGGGATTCTGCACCCCGGTAAGGCACAGTGCTAACAGTATGGGTGAGGGTTGTGGGAACCTCCTTGCTGTCTCTCAAAAAGCTGCTGGCACAGACCCAAAAGGGATTCATGAAAGCAACTGACAGGGCTTTGAGGGTCTGGCTGAATTTAGGGGCATATTTAAAGTATTTTATTTTTGCCAGCAATGACTATGACATGTGGCTTTGGATGAAGGAAGTGGAAACTAACAAAAAAAAAATTACTATTGATAAAAACATCGAGTGAAAAAAATTAAATCATCTGCACCACTGAAAACTCTCAGGTCCATGGCATATGTAACATAATGCTCTATTTGTGTGTACATTCAACAATATTTACTTAAAACCTAGTGTTTTACATTTGAGTAAAGCACGGGAGGAAGCTGGGAGTGGAGCTGGTATCTATCGAGGTGAGGCTTAGTTCTTTCACTGTGTTCTCTTGGATTTATTGAGGTTTAATGTCCAGGGAGCTCAGTTCCTTCACCTAAAGGACAGAATGTGACTCCCTACCCAGAGGGGACCCAAGGCTCACATGGGGTCACACGGACAGCACCAAGTGTGGTGTCTGCATGGCAGGTCCGCATTTAGAGGACTCAAGTAAGCCACTTCCCCTACTTTCTGGTCTCTGAACCCTCTTTAACTTAAAAAAAAAAAAAAAAATTAAAGATCCTAAAAAGCTTTTGGTTATGTGGTTTATAACTATCAACAGTTACCAAATTAGACATTAAAACAACATTAAAAATATGTCTTGTTTTATCTAAAAATAACAGTAGTAAACCCAATACATGGTAACATAAACAGATTTTTATGAAAAATAGCCATTATCCCAAACAAAAAAAATTTAGTGTGAAAATTGGCATCATTTTACATTTTTCTTCTCTTTAATGTCTGGTTTAATAGAAGACAGCTGGATTCTCTTATGTTGTTTTGATTAAAATAGGGAAATTCAGCATTGTGGAGATATGTATGGGGTAACCGAATAGGGGAGAATTTTAGTAACTGTTTCCAGTACTTGTGGATATCCTTTGATACTACCTCAAAACTAAGCAGTTTCTAAAAGAGGTAGGGGAGGATTTCCTTAAAGATTAGTTATTAGTACAGACTCTAAAATGACATCGGTGAACTTTTTGCACTATAACCTATTGCTTTACTCTGCATGGATTTTTTTTTTTTTTTTTATTTTATTTTAAGGATAAAAGGAGGGAAACATTAACAGACATACAGCATTTTACAACATATCACAAGCACAATACAGACAATACAGAGTTCCAAACAAAGTGGTAGGGAATTAACAATGGTGGTTGTATTACATATTGATATCTTCAAAGTGGCTTCTCATGAAAACAGATATAGACATGCAATACTGGTCAACCAAAGACTCATTGACAGTTTCTTTCAGCATAGAAACAGCAGATAGAAGAACAACCATGTTATCTATCCTGTATATACATACATACAAAATTTCTCCTTCTTTCCCTTCTCTTTTCCCACATCCCAGAAGCCCTTTACTCTTCGGTGGTTTCCTATCATTTCACAGTGTCTATCATACCTCCGAGTTTAACTTAACTCTTTCAAGTTTTACACTAGTGACACAATGCGGTGCTTGCACATGTATGTTTGATTTATTTCACTTATGAGTATGGTCTCTAGTTGTGACCATTTAAATATAAAGGCCTCGAGTTTATCTTTCTTTACAGCTGAGTAATATTCCATTATATAAAAGTACCATAATTTTCTTATCCAATCCTCGGTGGATGGACATTTGGGTTGCTTCCACATTTTAGCAATTACAAATTGTGCTGCTATGAACATAGGTGCACATATATCACTGTGATATGATGTTTTTAGATCTTCTGGGAAAATCTGCATGGATTTTTATCCATGCAAAACTGTGTAGCTGGCTCAGCACACACCTGGAAGGACCCACTGCACTACTCCACCACGGTCCTGCATTTTGTAGGCAGCACAGGTGCTTTTCTTGTCCTTCCTATCTTGTCAAACACAATACTATTATGATCAAACTTGGAGGCCAGGCATGGTGGTGTATGTCCCATATCCCAGCACTCGGGAGGCTGAGGCAGGAGGATCACCGTGACTTCGAGGCCAGCCTGGGCTACAAAGTCAGTTCAAGGCCAGTCTGAGCTGCATAGTGAAACCCTGTCTCAAACAAACAAACAAACAAACAAACAAAAAAAAAACAATGGCAAACTAAGGGTCAAAGTTTAATAAAAGCATTGGCTAATGCTTTCTTCCAGGACACTGTTAAAGCAAAGTAGCTACATTCAGGAAAAGAATATAACTTCCAGCACAGGTCCATCATTATTTGTGCTAAGGCATCAACAATCTATCCACCGCTGCTTTTGCACCAGTCTGTACCAACATTCCGGTGCTGGGTGTCCTCAAGGCTCAGCAGACCACTCTTTAAGAACCCTTGAGGCAGGGGCCAAATGGTTTTATAATATATTGCATATTTATATTTCTCTTCCTCCTCCTTCCTGTAAAAAACACTAACAAACAAAACAATCCCATGAACTTCTCCGTACTTAAAAATGAAAAACAAGGCAAAATAATTATTAAAACCCCTCTATGTTAGAATGGTAAAACAGGTTTATGCTAGATGTCATTTATCCCTTGAGGACAAAAGGCAAGTGTCCCCTAGGCTGGAATGACTTGGGCTGCAGCTGGATAGTCTGAGCTGTTTCCCAGAAAAACTCACTGGGTGATCTGTGATCTACTCTCCAGAAGATGAAATGACTTGGGAATTCCTCTCCACCCCTGTCATTGCTAAGACGCATTATATGCTACTTGGAATAAACAACCTTTGGTATTAAATGTCCTTCTAATTTAGAATGTGGAAATGTAGTTTAATAGATTGGACATGGCTTATCTTTCATATGTATACTGATTCTGCAGTTGGAATGCTAACTTGTCTGGAGAACTTGTTTACAGTCAGGCCATCCTGAGTTGTGTCCTGAACTTCAATATCGGATTAGTTCAAAAAGGGGAAATAAACCAAATGCCCATGAACTGATTAACAGATACAAACAGCATGGGATAGCTACACAGTGAAATATTATTGAGCCATAAAAAGGAATGAAGTACTGAAGGCAATGTATATATATAATTCCAGTCCTATGAATGTCTGGAATAGGCCACTCTATGGAGACAGAAAAATCAGTGATTTCCAGGGACTGCAGAAAGGGTAGGAAGGAACAGAGTGAATGTCAATGGCTATGAGGTTTTTTATGGGGTGATGAAAATATTCTGACATTACATGATGGTAACATTTGCATAGTTCTGTGAATATACTAAAACCAGTGGTGACTTTTATGGTATACGAATTACAGCCCCCAAACCAACCAACCAACAGCTCACCTCCATGGCCTAGGAACTGAGACTATTTACTGCTGTAATTTACTGAGCAAATCATACACGAAGCAGGTCACAGTCTCTGCCAGGGCGTGAACCCACTGGCTTCTCTTCACACTCATGCTCCCGGTGACCTCCCCGAGAGCCACGGGCTGGAGCTGGGGGGTTTGAAAGGTGGGGAGTCTTGTGGATTTCCAGGGAGGGGCATCCGGTGTGTTTTCTGATTTACAAGGGTCACGTGGCTAGCTATGGAGAATGGACTGTAGGCGGCAAGAGCAGGCAGTTTGCTCTTCTGCTGGTGACCATGACCTCACACACCACGCGGCAGGGTGGCCCAGACTTACAGACAGACGACTCCTAGGGGGAGTATGTGTCCTGTTCGTGATTACTGTAGCTGTGGAGCCCAGGCACCAAGTGGTGGCCGTCTTCCCCAGCATCGCAGGGGCATGGTCTGCTGCAGGACACAGAAGCACTAGCTCATGCGTCCCAGGGATCCTTCCTAAGTGGCCATTTAATCATTTTTATGTGTACAGGAAATACACTATGCTCCTATCTCTCAAAATGGATAATAAAATCCCTCCTTTGAAAATGAGCAGAGACAATGCTTGTACTCCAGGATGAACATAAAAACATATTAAAAACTGCATCTAAAACATCATCTCAAGTCCACTTGAAAATACTAGCATGTGTGATTAGGTGCAATATAAAGTGCTTGATACAACCCTTGTAGGTACAATAAATAGGCCACATGAGATATTAGCACTATTGCCTTCAAGCCATATGTCAACAGATGAAAAAAGCCCTACAATTTAACTCCCTGAAAGTTTGGAAAACATGAGAAGTAAAGAAGAAAGACTTTGCATATATTAAATCACTTGGTTCCCAAAGGAATAATAAAATTCTTAAAGTGTGTACACTTTTTGGATATGTGCATTTTGGGTTAAGGAAAATACCATAAAATGAAACATGGCTATACTTTTTTTTTTTTTTTGACATATAGTGACAAGGAGTTACTTTTCTAAAAAAAGTAAAAAGTCATCTCTTAGCATTCATATCCTTCCTACTTACCATACTGAAGGGCTTTTAGTGGAAACCAAAACAGAATAACTGAGTGGAAGAGGCCATTTAAACAATGAACCCAGAAAACCTGAGGGAAAACAAAAATCCATGAGAACCATTTGCGATAAACTAGCTCTGTGAACTCTGACCTTTCTTTTTATCTATGAGCTAGATTCACAAAATGTGTTTCTGTCGGGCCACCACTGTGAATTAACAGAGCTGACAGACACTTTCTGCCTCTCAGGCTTTCATGGGTCATTTATTTATTTTTATGTTTCTCAAAATGTTTTTTCAGCTTCACTTGAAATTTTTCCAAATTTTTAAAAAACCAAGAAATGAAAGTTTTAATTTTTCCCCTAAAAAGAAAATAAAAGTAACAATAAATGCAGAATTTGTAGGAAAGTTTTCATAATTCCGGCACAGACTTTTAAAGGGACTGTAATTTGGAGAAATCCCTTTGTCTTTCTCCAGCGTAATACTAGTGTGAACTTTTTAATGCTAACAAGGTATAATGATTTTTCTCATTCTTGCTATAGAAACATACATGCACACATTATACTAAGACTAACACAAGTATAACATTTCAACTGTGTAATCATTAAAGTATTGATTGAATTTATTAAATATTTTTCACAAATTTTTAAACACCTGTCAGTACCAAGTTTCATATAATTATAACATCATTTAGCATCATTTAGCTTTTTTTATGTCCATTGTATTTCAGGAACAAGGGAGCAATTCTCACTGGTGCTCTTTAACATGGACACGAAAGATTAAGTTATAGAAAAACTGTCTGGAATTCTTATGGCCCTCTGAACAGTTGTAGTTTTGTCATTTAAAAGTGCTTCCTGCAAACAAAACTTACGCTAAATAAAATTGGCATGTATTAATAGTTTTAAGCTGTTCAAACAACAGAAATTAAGTTGCCTGCCTCCCAAAATTTTCCACTGTGATCTCAATCTCCTTTGTTAGTTCATCCAGCCACCCTGGATTGTATGATCCAATTTACGCTCCAATACATTACACATTTGAACTTGTGTTAGTCATTAACCTTTGTCGCTTCTCCTCACTATGTCATTACCACACGTTTTTATTTGACAGAAAGCACAGGTGGGTGCAAGAAAAATTAGTTCTACTTTTCCATTTTCCTGACTGATACTTATTGTCACATGCTAATCCTTTAACCCCTGTCATGACCTCAGAACCTCCGACCCTTTTTACCATAACAAACGTAAGCATCATCATTCAAGGCAACAATGCGTCTACACTTGGGACCCACAGCAACCAGTGTGTATACAACTATGCATTTTGTAGCCATTTGTCCCTGAATTTTAAAACACATACAAGGGATTTACACACGGAATTTTCACTGACAACATCAGAAAAACCCTTACAGAAAATGGTTGGCAACTTTTAAGTATAAACTATAAATAATCAAATAGATATGGAAGTTGCATAACCTACTTGAGTTTCTCTGATGACTTTTCTAAAAGGCCCATGTTTTAGAGATAATGAAATACTTTTTCAACAGCAAAAGATACAAGAAATAATGCACCTATACTAAAACTACTACACGCTGTACCTTTCCTGGCCATACAACTGTGTCCACATTTTTGTCTACAAAGTGCTTAAAATGACACAGCTCTGCAGGCATGAGTCCGGTTAATCCCGAGAGGCGATTTGTTTTTAAGTAAGAGTGACATGCCCAAGTTTATGGCTGGGATGTTAGCTCCTGAGATAACATCACGAAGCCTGAACTGCGGGAGATGGGGACCTGTGGCTGATGTGGATGCAACTGCCAGACTGGTGAGAACTACCCAGTGTACCTGTAGGCCTGGGACTTTCCTAGCTCTCAGATCACTTTTTCAGGGAAACAAGAGCTCATGTCTATTGTATCTGCCTCGACTGTACCTCTCTATCCTTTAAAAATGCCCATCATGGGTTATGGAAAACATGATAGCAATGCGGAAGAATTGAATACAAATTAGGAATGATAGGTACATTTTAAAAATTGAAAATAAGTATTAAAAATGAAGCTTAGACATTATATATCATAAATGGCAACAATTTTAAAAGAAATCCTCAGAAATATTTTTCACAGCTAGTGCTATAAGTGAAAGAATGCTTCAGTACATTGTTATTTTAGTTAACCTAGTGTGCTTATCTAAAACAAAGCCATCAAGTTGTACGCACTTGGGAAGCTCACGCGTGGTGTGCTCATGAAGGCCGAGTCTCAGAATATAACCTCTTAGCTATAAACTTAACACTATCATTTATGGTGGTGAAGTCAGAGGCACCAAAACACCTGTTTTACTTTAAGTACTGTTTACTGAGAATAGCATCAGAGAGCTTCTTGAATTAAGAAATATTAAAAAGAGCCTACATTAATTGCCCTACGTTCAGTACACTAAGTTAAAGCTACATTTAACTACCAGTAAATGCTAGTGAACATGCACTACACTAAATGGAAATAGTTCTGTGAGAGTGTTTTGTATTTGTGGCTTTTATAACACTAATAAAATACACAGATGTTAGAGATCCCAAATGACATCTACTTTGATATAATTTAACATCTCCACTCATTCTAAATAAATCTGAATTATTAACAAATAATAGTGGAAACATTTTAGAATATATACTTGCAGGACAGTAACCTATGCACAAAACAAGATCTTTTTGTTTTTGTTTTTGGAATGAATAAATTACCAGGAGTCACAAGAGATGACAAAAGCCTATGACTTGTTACGTAGACTATAAACTTCAAGTGCAATTTTAAATAAATTTTGAATATTTTATGCTGTATTTTTAATTTTAAGGCTTGGAAATACTGAAATACTAATACATAATTAGTCAATGAGTTACTCCCCAAAGACTGTAACTTTAATGCTTGATACAATAAATCTAAAATTCTAATGAGGACAGAATTATTTCACAAGCAGGAAGTTAGTAAAGAGTGATACAGTAACTCTCACCCCTATACATGGAAAGCCACCACTGTCAGCCCTGAAAGACTCCATCCTGTGAAGGGTGAGCTTTCTCCACAGTGATGCAGACAGAAAGCCACAGCACCAAAAGACAATGACTTCAGTCTGCTAGACCAGCTTACCGGTGCCTGTGAGCCTCAGTAAACAGTGGTTTCATTTTAATTTTGCAACACAATAAAACCAAACCAAACTAGCCAGAAACCTCTGCCTCTATCAGAACCTTTGGAATTAGGACTTGCCATAGTGGATATGCTGGAGCTGTCTTAGGCTGCGTCTCTCTGGCTTTGTAGTTGAAGCAAGAAAGCAGCCCCACTGGTCACGCACCCAGACACCAGCTCCTACCTTGGTATTGAAGTCCAGAGCGTTCTGAGATGTTTTGTACAATTCAGGGTACTTCAACATATTCTCTTTTCTGCATGATCTCTCAAATATCCCAAGAGTTAAGGGAGGCATTGCTGTAAACATCTAAAGTGATAAACTGATTATTGCACCACATAGCCAAATTCAGGGCAAGTCTTTACATCAGAATATTACTATAAAACAGGAACTATCAAATGTGTTAAACTTACCACATTATAAAGACCTATACACCACCTTTCAAAGAGGATCTGTCCAGAAAAGCCATTAACAAAGGCAAACCAGATCTAGGAAAAAAACAACCCAAGCCCTTAATTAGAACAAAATATCAATGCATTGCTTAGAATCTGTTTTATACTCAACTAATGCAGCAACATGTTATTTTCAGTATGCTCTTGAAAATGGCACTTCTGTACTTTCTTGAATTTAAAGGAACACTTTCATAAGGTATTTGCTATTTAAGTCAGAATTGGTCCTACTTGTTAACTAAAAAAGAAATATATGAATAAGAAACTATTAATTTAAAAATTAGGTAAATCTTGTTTTTATAAAAGAATGTATTTACTTGTCGTTCAATTTTTACAGCTTTAATTTCCTTTTAAAATATCTGTCAGGAGGTATTAAAGATTCTTTTTTTAATTGCAGAAGTAACTCCTGTTAATTCAGAAAATAATTTGAAATCCTTAATTCTGTCTGAGTTGTATTCATGTTGTTAAAATACATTCACAAATTTTCTTGAAACCTACTGTACAGTATCACCTATGCTCTTCTACCTCCACAATACAAAATAAGCATTTTTTAAAGTTGTTAAACATCCTTGAAGATGTCACATATCCCATAAGGTGTTGTTAACCTCTACAGGTTGAATGTAACTATTTTAGGGTGTTAGCTTGCTTCACTTTGCTTTTAAAAAAAGATTCTAAACTGAATGTCTACACATCTGTTTTCCCATAGGAAGAACTCTTGAACTACAATTAAGAAGTCAATGTTTGTAATTTTTTAACACTTCTTGATAATTACTGGCATCACAATAAATATGAACACATACATTAAACTATTTTAAACTTAAGCCATTTTAAGAGCATAACATTCTTATATGTTTTAAAATTTTCTTCAAAACAGAAGCCTTAACTTTAGAAACAAAACTAAGGGGTAGTATAGAGTTTTTCTCCAACATGTTGAAAACATACAGTAAATTAAAGTGGTAATTAGTAATACAGACCTTACTGTTTTTAAGAGCAGACCTAATCTATAATTAAAAATCAAGTTGACCTGGAAGAATAAAAGGCTCATCCAGCAATGCGATTACATAAACACAAACACAAAACACAACATAATGAGAACGAAACTGTTAGAGGAAAGCAGTCTTGACATGTGGCTCGAGTGAATTTCTGAATCAAAGTGGAAGGGACTTTGCCACACTTCACGTTTCATTTAACCTCATTATGGAAGCATGAATTGCTACAAATTCACCATTTATCAATATGTACCCAGGCTGGCCCCTCCATGAACAGGTTCTGCATCCACACTGATTCCCCTCCTTTCTATAGTGGAAGGGAACGACTGAACACGTATAAAAACGAATGTCTGCTTCATGAGATGGAAAAGAAAACAAAGCTGCGATAACACATGAAAAATAAGTCCAAATTGTGTTAGGGTTGTAACACACATTAACGATAACAAAAACATAGAAATCCAAGTCAAATCTGAAATTCTTACTTGGTTTGCTAAATGTTTTAACAAAAAGTTTTGAACATTTATCCTAAACAAGGAGCCAGATTGTTTGTGCATGTAAACTTTAAAAGAATTTTTTGCCTTCATTGGAATTAAGCCTATTTTTCCTTGTGAGTATATACAAGATGATAAAACAGACTTTATCATGTTTTTGCATCTGGTGTTTTGGAGGTGTCAGACTTTCTGAGATGTGGATAAAGATGTAAACACATATTGTGACATTTCAGGTAATGGTTATATTTTCCTAATGGCAACTGTGACGTAGTAATACATTCTAAGCTCCTCTTTCAGATTTCTTGGGTATGATGGAAATTTATGGAATTTTTAAGGAATTGGAACACAATTTCTGAATTATGGTCTTTCTAGTCTACAAAAGTACAGTCCAATCTTTGTTGGTTTGAAGAGAGCTGCTTATCAAATTTATTAACGGATATGATCTGGCTCATAGGTTATAGTCCTAAATGCATTTGCAGTCATCCATATTGCATGTTTATGTTAATAAATCTGTGTGTATAGGGAAATAAAAAGGATCAAGATGTGATATGTATATATATATCAACATCCCTTGATAAACGTATCTATTATGTATCACAAACACATTAATAATAAAAAATTGTGCAGGAGTAAGCATTTGCAATAGGAATGATCCCTTAGCTTCTTTGTATATAACACTTGATTTGTTTTTATTCTTGTCTTATTTTCAGCGTGGGTTATCGAACCCAGGGCCTCATACATGCTAGGCAAGTGCTCTACCACTGAGTTACAACCCCAGCCTGGATTGTACGTAACATCTGGTGCTGATTCAAAGGTGCTTTAAATTTAAGACCTCACTTCAAATCAACAAATACACAGAAAGCTTCAAATTCAAAATAAAATGCAAATAAACATGGATGAGTCAAAGTATGTTTTAAAATGCATAAATGAACTGCTTTATGTTAGAAAAATTTTAAGTGGCAAGCTAACACATCCTGCTTGCAAGGCAGGTGAATATGTTTTTAAAATTTACTATCTGCATTTTAAAATTTTGTATTTTAATTTCTTTTTTTAAATGAGAAAGAAATGACTCTATGTAACTTTTCAATATGCAGCCCTATATCTTCATACAAATATTTTGGTGTTCAAATTTATTCACCTTAAAGGAGAAAGAAAAATCTTTAGGGGTGAAGTAGTTCACCAGAAGATTGATTTCTGATTAGTTTGAGACTTGTGGTTAAAATATATATTGGGAACATATCCATGCTAAGTAAGATAATACCTAACTTACCATAAGCACATAAAAGTTCCTCTTTGGACTCAAAGCCTGGATAAAGAAAGAAAACACCAGGCCTTCTAGGGAGGTGTATAGATTATTTAAATTCACAGAAAATCCACCTCCTAGAATAATTTCCTGGGAAAGTATTACTTTATTGACTTAAATCAAAGCTTCTGGAAATTAGAACCACTACATTGTTTGGGAGTCTTGGATGCAACCAATGATTTGAAAGAAAAAGTCTTATTTTGCTAGGAAGTAGTCAGATGTTTCAGAGAAGTAAAAGAATCTTTTTAGAAAGAGCCAATAATTTAAACAAACACCTAGAGCTGCTGCCAGGCAGCTTCTATAAGACCTTCACATCCCCACCTGCTAAGTCTGTATTTATTTGTGGGCCTGTACTTTACCGTAATGGAGGGGCTAGACAGTGATATTCCTGGCAATACAATGATGGGAAAGCAGTTTTGCAGATAATCTATAAAACCCAGAGTGTTCAACACTGTTTCTTTATTAGTAAAGAAACTTTAGATCTGCTGCTCCTGGTATTATTTTCTAAATTCCACCTCCCTACAGAGGCGTGGCAGCTAAAGCTTCACAGACATTTTCCTGATGGAGCATTTCTGCATATTAAACAGCAGCTTACAAATAGTCAATGAGTTCTCTGCTCCCACGCTTGATCAGCACAAAAAACTGAAAGAACAGACTGGAGACTGGCAGTTGTCCTCACTAGAGACATTCAATGATGTGTTTTCTGTCTATTCATTCACAGTATTGACATGAACCATTAACATCTGCAGAACTTGTTTTAGCTGGCAAAAGTTGGGTATCTGGGAATTGATTTAAAAGGTCAATTCATTTCTAAGACAGTGGAATTATATTCAAAATACAGTTCCGTAAAGTGCTAAAAGAAAAATAAAAATGAGATTTTCCAGTAAAGTTTAGAACTCACTTCCTTTTCAGTGTGTAAAGAATACGTTCCATGTTAAATATCTCATGAAGAGGCTTGAAATTAAAAGTCAAGTGAAATTTAGGGCTAATCTACCACGAAGCACATAATTCTGGGTTTGAAATACAGTGTGCATGCTTACTTTTCATTGAGTTTAATATATTTTATTTTCCCCATTAGTACATAAATTTTGCTCACTTCATTGTTGATAATTAGTCTAGGTTTAAAAAAGCATTTGTCAATCTAGATTTAAAATCTAGACACATCATTTTAAAAAATTAAATTTTTATAATACATTTATTAGTGTCAGTGCGTTTAAACTCCTGGCTTAAAAGTCTTCAAAAGTTTGTTAAATAAACAGTATACTTTTGTTTTGAATGTGCTTTGGGATGAAAAGAACATATCACTAGAAAAGTCAGATAAATAGGGGATGGCAATGAAAAATAATTATTTTGAAATAAAGTCACAATTTTATATATGAAACAGAATTTTTTGATCTGAACTATTTTGGAAGTGTATTTTGCCTTTAAAACACATATTTTTTTTCTCATACCAAATCTATCAGTAATGAACTATAACTTCATGAAGTGTCTTTTTTGTGTTTCCATGTAAATTAGGAATTATGCTTAGTCAACGCTTTAATAAGGAGATCAGCAATCTGACAGAGGTACAAAGAACAGCTAAGTCAAACTTACAAGACTCCCCAGGGAGCACGGTAGATGTGTAATCTACTAATTTATTTGTTTGCAGTGTTCCTTCTCTGGTCTAAAATATGGGACCTTATTACCATACAGCAAATGGCTTGGTCTTGTCTTTTCTGATAGATGTGTAGAAACAGTCAACAGAATAGAGGGCAAAGTGGCACAGAGCGCAAACATGTGTAGGGAGCCCTCGGCAGATTTATGAGAGCGTGGGTGCGTTACTGCAGGAATGGAAGATGGAGCATTTTCCTGACAAGCTCCTGGAGCTCCTTGTCATCTCTGCTGAGATACAAGAGGGACACACAACTGATAACACCTCAAGTTTCATTATTACAAATACAGATGCTGCTGATCAAATGGCTCAGTGCTAAAAAAAAAGCACACTGAGTTATCACATTCAGTTCACTAGTGCTATGCTGTCCAGCACAGTAGCCACTGGCTACACGGGGCTCTACACCACCTGTCCCTTTTCTGAGATGTGCCAAGATGTGGCACAAATGTCAAGAACACATCAGATTGTGAACACTAAGAATGAAGTAAAGAATATAAAAAAATAGCAGTTCTTATAGTCATTACATGTTGAAAACATAATGTTTTGAATATTCTAAATTAATAAAATAGGGTATTAAAATCAACCCAAGTTTTAATTTTAGCTTAGTTTTGCTAATGTGGCTTCAGGAAAATTGAAAATTACACACGTGTCCTCCGCAGTTGGCAAGCTCCTGGAGGACAGGAACTGTGCTTGCTTTACTTCATAGCTGCTACACTGATCTTGGCGCCTGGCATCTAGCAGGTATTGCAAAAACACTTGCAGAACAAAATGCATCTCTTTAGAAGTGGTACTCCTAGCCTGGTTTGCATTGTTACAATGATGCTATATTTGACACATGAGTAAGATCACAGAAATCACTTCCTAGACCCAGGAATTAAATATTCTGGTAATTTTTAGGCAAATTCCTTATTATCTAAATTCTTGTTTCTTACTGAAATCAGAAATCAAAATAGTTCTGGACAGCAAGGGATACCTATATGCAGCACAGATCTAGGTTTGAAATGAAGTAGCTATCAGATATCCAATTCAAGCAAAGGTACTATGTATCCATCTGGCTCTATACCTTTGTCTCCCCCAGAATTAGGGCACTTATCCTTGGTTTTGTGTTTATCATCCCTTCACTTTTCTTTTCTCTTAATTTTGACTTGTACCCTTTTTGTTTGTTGTGTTGCTGGGGATCATTATTTTTCTTTTTAAATAATAGATTTCCATATGTCCATCATCCTTCAACAGTGTGTTGTTTTCTTTGTTTTTGAGCTTTATAAAGTATAGTTTTCAGTCTTTTAAAAATGAAAAACTTACCTCTTTAGCAATTTTAATTCTAACATTTCTACCAAAATGATACAACATTTTAAACCAGAATTTAAACATTAATTATTCTCCATGGCTGACAACTTTTCGTTTTAAAAACTGAGTAAATGAGGTCTTAATGCAAACAATGAGAAAAGGTCTTCATAAAAATTGTCTTTAAATATATAGGCAAGTGACAACGATTTTAAACTTAATCTATTACCTCAATAATATAAAGGACTATGTTCTTGTAGAAGCAGTACAGGATGCACTTAGAGACTCTGTTATAGTTCCAGGCACCATGAACCATCAGTAAATTCTTCAAATACTTGAACTAAAAGAAGAGTGGAAAAAAGTTAGTATTTCCCTCTTCACAGTGTTGGCTGAGTGAAAGGAACAGAAGGATGTTTTGCAGCAAGGACGCTTTACCTGAGCTATGGAATAATCAGAAGAATTAGCTGCCTGCAGGCCCTCGTTGCCGCTTATCCCAACACCCACGTGGGCTGTCTGGATCATGCTGACGTCGTTTGCCCCATCACCAATCGCAAGCGTTATGACTTTGACTTGCTTCTTCACCATCTCAACAACTTCAGACTTTTGTAGAGGAGAAACCCTTAAAAATTAGAACGGATTATCAATTACCTTTGGTTTCTGAAAAAAGAAATTTTGAAATGCCATTGCTGTGAATGATAAAAGAAACAAAAGATGCATATGAACAGTTCATTCCACATGAATGAAGAACCATTATGAGAGTTTCAAGTTTAAAAATGCTTAGTTCTATCAACCTGGTTGCCATTTTAATGGAAATAAATAAAGCCTTAGAAGCAAATCTCAGCTAATGGCTCAAAGAAACAATACTATCTGTTAAAAACTAGCTTACTAGAATGTTTGGTTCGCCACCCAAAATGTTTGTTTTGACCACCCCAAAGGAAGCTGGTCTTAGAAAATGTAGTAGATGCTTAAAAAAACTTAAAACATTATTTAAATTAGTGATAGGGAGTTGCTTAGCCTTTTAACCTGTTCTCAGTTGCCACGGTGAATCTAAACCACAGTGCTTCATTTTCTTCCCAAACCACTGACTGATATTCAGGGAGCCATCAAGCAATCTTTTATACAAATGTGGGTCAGGAATATAAGACATCACCATTAACACTAGAATCAGAGTTGGCATTAAATTTGGAATAATTTTCACAGGCTTTTAAAAGCCACTTAAGAAATACATTCCAAAACAGTGATAGAAGAATTCTGAGAAAGAACACATCAGTGCAATTAATATATTGTCCATGTTGTATTGGAAGTTATATAGACAGGAAGATTACACAATAGTTCAGTCAACTATTAAGACAGTAATTAAACAGTAAGAAACTACTGACATACATAATGTTACTGGACAAGAATAGATATCTTAGTGCTAAGTTCCTTATCAATGTTAAGTGACACAGGTGTCTAATAAACATCTGCTGAAACGTGACAAATCGTTTGTTATTCTATTCTAAAAGGAAGATCATTACTCTAAAAGAATCAGTGCATCTTTGCACATTTTTCTGTTTATTGGTGTAGGAAAAATTCCTAGCAGTGGGTACTCGGCACAAATGTGTGCTTTAAGGAGGCCCCAGTCTGTGTACAATGGGATGAGCCACAGTAGCTCTGGCTTTTATTCCACATTGGAGAACCACTGCATGAGCCTGTGAGTTGCTTGCGGAGCAACCCAGGCTCCTCTTTGTATTCTTGGTGTCTGATCCAGAGGATGTACTCAACAAACGGTTGCTATATGAAAGAATTATTTTTAATTTTTTCTTTGGATTTCCTTTCAGAGTCTGGCAGTAGTACAAAATGACACAACTGTGGACTTAGCAAGGGAATAAATGAGCACCAGGCCATTAATGGGCTATTTCACTGCTAGCCTCCATTTTTCTTTGAAGCAATTGTCATTTCATTTTCACATTTTATTTAATTTTTCTTAACAGGCTAATATAAATTGGTAAGTTCACTGGCTCTAGGCCAATGTTTTAAACACAGACTGTAGCTAACGTTCAGTAAATGTCAAGAAAGAATGCTCCCCAAGACATGTTCTAGAAAGCAAATGGGAAATGTGCAGGAAAAGAGAAAAGCATTTGAAAACATTTATCAAATTCCCTTTCACAGACCCACAGTGTAAATACATTATGAAGTCATACCATGGAACCCATGGAGCTAGGACACGGTGGTACTTTCTTCATGAACTGGACCTGCGTGGTGAGCTAATACTAGTGATTTAAAGTAGCACCAGAAGAGTTGGACTAAACTTTGCCTTCTGTCTTCATGGTGATTACAAACAATCGTTTTCTCAGCATGATGCTCAATCTTTGATAACCCCAACTAAAAATAGCTGAGGATTTTCACACAATTCTAAGTGGAGAGCTAACTCAGATGCAAAAAGCAAACATCAGGAGCACCCTGAGCAAGAACAATGCCTGTTAAATAAAAAATGATGATATAGTAAGAGACACCCCCCACAGTACACTATGCCACTAGCAAGGGATCTCCTGCCACTACAAGCTGAAAGCAAACAGTGGCTTAGAAGAAAATTCAAGAAACAGAAGAAGACTTCATTTCTGATAAATGTGCAAATAAAAGCTGGTTGCTAAACAGAGATGTTGGGTTTAAATGGGAGTTCATCAAAAGTAAAATATATATTCACAGGACATTTAAGTCAAAACATGAATGCACAAACTTGTGATGAAGGACAAAGAACTTTATTCTGCATGAAGTTTGCTGGTTGAAATTCTGCCTATTTTTGTTGGAGAAACTTGATTTATGAGGAACAATACACGGTTTGTTTCACTGAAGTGGAGACCAGCATGTCATAATTCTTTGCACCCCAGTTTGCAGTTATCTTCCACAGCAAATTTCAACAGCAAATTTTTCTAGCAACTCAAAATCTTTCTAGACCATTTGTAATGGTTAATCTTGACTGTCAACCTGACTGAATTGAGAAACACTTCAGAAATTAGAAAATAACACTTCTGGGGGGTGCATATCCGAGGGTGTTTCCAGAGATGACTATTATATGAGATAGTAAACTATTGGGGGCAGACCCACCCTGAACGTGGGTGGCACCATCCAATAGGCTGGGAATCTGGATGTAAGGACACTGGAGGGAGGAAAGCTGCCAGCTCATGCTCTCTCGCTCTTTTTGCTTCTTGGCTGACATGAGATGAACAGCTTTGCTTCCCCACACCCTGCCCCCACGATGTTCTGCCTCACCACAGGCCACAGCAAAAGAGCCAGTTGACCATGTACTGAAAACTCTGAAACCGTGAGCCAAAATAAATCTTTCCTTCTTTAAGTTATTATTCTCAGATATTTTGACAAAGAGCTAACACACCATTATAACTGGTTTTTCCAGCAACAACTTTCACTAGATTACTTCAATGCCTTACAAAATATTTAATTCATGGTGATTACTTTAAGACGCACCACTGGGATGAACATGGATGGAATGAGCACCAGGAGGAAAGCACCAACACAACTCATGGAATCAAAAGCGCAAGGGCACGCTACAGAATCCAGGCTCTGGGCAGAGGGTGCCGGGGGCACTCTGAAGCAGGTCTCATAAAGAAGATGCTTTAAGGGGTTCAGGTTAGTTGCACCGAAGTTAGTTAAAAAGAGCTTCTCTAATTTGAGCATCCCTAATCAGAAAATTCAAAATCCATAATGCTCTAAAGGTCTGAAATCTTTGAATGATGCCATGATGCCACAGGTAAAAAGCTCCACCTCTGCTATCATGTGATGCATCATAGTCAAAGCATAGGCACACTAAAAATATTGTGTATTCTCAGCTACCTAGGAGGCTGAGGGAGGACGATAGCAAGTTCAAGGCCAGCCTGGGCAACTGAGTGAAGACCTGTCTCAAAATAAAGATTGGAGAGGTAGCTCAGTGGAAGATTGCTTGTGTAACATTTGTGAGGCCCTTGAGTTCAATTTCCAGTACTGCAAAAAATCCCAGAAACAAACCCAGAGAAGCAACTTCAGGTGACTTGTGTAAGGTGTCTGTGAAACTTTAATGAATTTTGTGTTTAGACTTGAAGCCCATCCCCAAGATATTTCATTACATAAGCAAATGTTCCAAAATCTGAGAAAAATTCAAAATCTGAAACTCTTCTGACCTCAAGTATTTTAAATACTGCATACTCAACCTGTACTATTTTCAAACATCCATTTTTAAAAAATTGATCCTTACTACACAGAGGTGACAATAAAGCAAAACAAAAAAATTTAAGTCATTCAAGCTGAGTGTACTATAAAAGCTCTTTGACTGAGTTGCCAGAACATTCTAGAAGATGTAGAGAGCAGCCTGGGCTGTGAAAGGCTTCTGGGACAAGGCAGAATCTGCCTTGGCTTTGACAAGGGGAAGACAGCTCACCGCAGGTACAAGAAACAACACATATTAAATTTTGTTAACTACACGTTTAAATTTCCCTAGAATACACCCCTTTCTGCTGCTGTTTCCACCTTTTAAAAGGGTTACTACTGTGCTCATCAGTTTATTTACTTTGACTTTTGGACACTTCTTTCTGTATTTGCACAATTTCCATTATAATCCCGAGAACTAATTCTTCCCAGTGTCTATCAAACACCACATGTCCATAGCTGGGAATATCTAAAACTTGAACTTTCCAAGTACCAAGAGTTTTCTTCTTTTCCACTGTTGCTTTTTCTTCTTTGAGACGAGGCCCTATAGAAAAGAACTGTGTATCTATTATGGACGATAAAGCCTGTTTTTCTTCCCCATGGCTCTACAAGCAGAAGGTGGTCCTAGTGCTGCAGCCCAGGAGCATACCAGTGCAATGTGCTTTTCAGATATTATTCTGGCTGCAGTTTCTGCACATGTTATTCATTATTTTTCTTATTTGCTATGTAGTAACTCTCAGTGCTTGTGAACATTAGATCAGAGCCCTGGAAATTTTTACCATTTAAGCTAAGTAGTATATAGGTGGTCCACCTTATATGAGACTTGGTTTGCAGTCTTTTAATGGAATTAGCTAAATGAATCGCCTTTCTGAAGGGGATATGGATAAACGTCTTACGTACAAGTATGTACACAGACATACAATAAAGAATAATTTCAGAGACTTTTTATAGGTAGCCAAAAGACTTATACTATAAACTCAAAAGTAATAATGTTATCTTATTGGTGCAATTTTATGTATGTATGTCAGAGGCTCTTTTTAGCTTATTTCTCCAAAACACAATCCAGTTAAATTATTGCATTCTTTTTGACTATCTATGAAAAGGAAAAAAATTAAAAACATGGAGGAATATAATATTTCCTAATTATCCTGCAGTGTTTTACAGAGTAACCAAGTTTTGCTAATTACTAAGTTTGAGGTCCACTTCTGGTGACTGTTTTTAGAGGCTAGGATCTGCTGTACTTTCTTTTCCAACAAACTTCCTAAGGTTTCTCCTGTGAATACCAGACTATCCCCCATTGAGTCATATCCTTCTAACAAAGAAATTACAAAAAAGAGAAAAATTGAACTTACAAGACCTTACTTGCATCTTTTTGAACTAAAATTTATTAGGTTCATTTATAAGGTTTTAAACTGAAAAAGGAATTAAAATATGGCAAAA